CATTAATTTCCCATATTTTGGAGCACTGCTCAGCTCTCACAGAGCTGTCACAGAACTAACAGAGGTTAGTTAACTTCACCCCTAACCTCTGATGACATGCTTCCCTGAATAGAGAGTCTTTGCCTATATGTGAAATTATCCTAAAGATTCATGCTTTACTAACGGTAGTAATTTTAGCATCTAATGCTCACGTAGTGTTTCCTATGTAGGAATGTAGTGTTCATGTAGAATATTTAGCAGAGGTGTATATGCATTAAACTTGCTAACAGTATGCATTATATATGCATTATATAATTTTGGACAGGAAAATTGAGTGTTTTGCAACTACTGTAATCTGTATCATTGCTGGACAAGTTATCAGTTATATTGTTAGCATGGAAGAGAATACTGCTAGCATGACTGAGCAGCAGTCAATTTAGTTAAGCCCAAGCATCCTTTTCTGCGAGGTGTAATTGTGGGCTTGATGTAATCTCCTGTTATAAAGGTTTAGGGACTTGGAAGATTCTTTCAGTTTAGTCTGAAGTATCTGGTTACAGTTAGCCTTCTGAAGTGCACATTTGCTTTTCTGAAACTGGTAGAAACAGCAGTGATCAATATAAGCTGAAGATAATACCTAAAGAAGAGTGGTCAGAAAAAACGAATTTGCAGTTAGTTTTTAACTGTGATCTCAATTCAATTTATACTTATTTTTAGTTGATAAAAGCATGAGGATTTTGCTTATCTGTGCTTAGAGTTTTACAGCTTTACCTTCTTTCTCTGATGGTGGTTTATATTTAGGAAGCAAAGTACTGTTTTGAATGTCAAGCATTGCTACAGTAGGCTCCTAGATGTGGTACATTGGCTTAGTGTTTCTGTGTGCATAGTGATATTTGCTGATTTTTCACACATTTTAAAAAAACCTTTCATATCTCTGAAATTGTGAACTTCTGTTACAGTGGAAAAAGTTGCATGGTATAGTATGTAGAGTATGTGTTACAGTGTAACTGTGGTCACTGTAAATATCTGAAATTATTTAGAGTTTGTTATTCTGTTGAGGAAATTCTAATTTGAGAATAAAGTGACCCTAGACTAGTTAACCTGCAGTGGCTCCAAAGCTGCTTCAGTCATTTTCCTTTCCCTTCTGTGCCTAATGTTCTTACCTGGTGTGTTTTTCTTCTTTACTTTTTGGAAAGAATACAATTTTAGATAAATCTTGACATTTGGAGGAGACTACTAGTTGTGTTTGTTGCATGTCCATTAGTGCCTTAGTATGAAAACAGTTAAGTTATATTTTTATGTGTATACCAGTGGTGAGAAGTGAGATTTGACTGACCCATTTTTTCAAAAACTGTTTTTTAAGCTAAATGTTGAACACTGAATACCCCACCCCTATGGAAAATAATAAAGTGTGTCACACTTAAGTTAGATATTTGTAATAGAATGTGTATAACACATCTTTTGTTGTAAGAATGGAATTGCCAAGGACTGGAGTATTTTGTTTTGAAGTAAAAATTGTTGAAACTGGAAGTGGAATTTTTCAGACTTGTATATGAAAGAGATTTGCTATTTTGTATTAAATTGGAATTGTTTCAAAGTCTATGTGAACAATGAACTCCTTTCTAAATTTTTTTTAATTGCTGTCATAGTGGTTAGGGTTGGTTGTTTTTTTTGTTTTTTTTTGTTTTTTTTTTTTTTTTTTTTTTTTTTTTTTTTTTTTTTTTTTTTTTTTTTTTTGGGGTTTTTTTTTTTTTTTTTTTTTTTTTTTTTTTTTTTGTCCTTCATTCGGGGTTTGCTTTTTTTAACCAACTGCATATGTCTGGTATTTATTTATACATGAAGAAAGTTATTGAATGCTGTATACTGCTGCTCAAGTTTTAGTTTTTAACTGATAAAATGAAATAGAGATGTGGCATAGAGAAGGTAAAAAATATTATTTCAAACACTTTATCACAAATATATTCTAATCACCAGCCAAAAGAGTGCACTTTCTATAACCCAGTAGATTGCTTGCAGTTTATGAAATGCTTGATGATATGTATTTTGTGGGACAGATATGTCTTCTGTTGTCCTTGAAAGAAAATGTTTTTTCATTTTTTAGTTACAAACTGATTTTACAGGATGGTGGAAAAAGCTTCCTGTTACACTTAAATGCTGTGTTTCATAACTTTTTTAAGTATGAGTTGATTCAGTTAGTCATGTCAGTCCAGAAGCTGTTTTACAAAGACATCTTTACTTAGCATGACTGCAAAGATCCAGGTGTTACAAACTTAAAATTACTATTATTGTGCTATGCAAAATGGTACTTAATTATTTAATTCTTAAACATCTTTTCAGTTAGCATCTGAAAAATGCTTTTGTTTAGCCGTGCTTCAAAACTTCCTATGATTATGAATCAGAAAAGTTTAGAATGATAACAAATGTTTCCAAAGAAATAATGAAACTGTTATTTTTTGTTTGTTTGTTGTTTTTGATTTTTTGGATTGGTTTTTTTTTTAATAGGAAGAGAGATGATCCAGCAAGTCTCAGCTTTATGGAATATAGCAAATTACAAATTTCATTAATCTTACAAAATAAGTGTATGTATTTTCTTCTTGGCAGAGAAATAAGTTGGAGAAAATTACAAGAAGTCATAAAGGAAAATTCTAAAACTGAAAAAGGCAATTCCTTTGTAGTAGTGATTTTGTCAGATTAAAATTAAGTTTTTGATCACTTTCTTATCATGGGCGGTCCAAAGTATTGTGAACTAGACTAAATTTTCTGGCAAATATGGAGCTGTTACAAGAACTTTGACTCTTATATTTCTAGACTCTAGATAAGCAGTTAGTTGAAACAAATTTTGGTGGTTTTCATATTTTGCAGATGCTCTCAAATTAATTCATGTAAGCTTTATCCCTGGATTCATCAATTTAGCAATAACAGAAGATCTGCTGATCAGATACGACCAATTTATTTCCCAGATGTTGATCCTCACAGTCTTCCTTCTGGTTCAAACTTCTCTATGACAGCAGGGGATTTTCAGGAAATTTATTCTGAGTGCAGTGAGTAAATGCAAACTTCTAGGCTATCCATGTCGTTTTACAGACTTCCAGAATATTTGGGACAGATTATAAAGGGAATGGAAGTGTATCTACCAGTTTTAAATATAAAGAACTAGCTGTAGCAAGATTCTCTTACTCAGGCTATTTCTCCAGCTGTATCAATAGGTCTATTTCTTACTCCAAATCAGCTTTTCTTCCTAGTTATAGAAAATGTGGACACCTCCTTGTCTAACAGATCATGCGGGAGCCTTCCCCACAGCTGCTTAATTTCCTGAAGATTCTATGTTTAACAGTAGAACATCCAAGACTGGCATAAATTAAGGCTTCTAATATTTTTTTATTTACAGAACTTAAAACTTTTGCTATTTCAAGAATACCTGTTTAGAGAAAAACAGGGAGACTCATGCTTTAAAAGGTAGACTTGAAAAATTCCTGCTTGTTGAATTGACTAGTTAAAAACAGCTGGGGAGATATTAAAATACTGAGTAAAATGTTTTAAAGCTAAGTGACTTCTGAAAGTACACTTTAGTGTGCAGACTTATATTGTTCTAGATACTATCTAGGGAGGCCTAAAATGATTGGGGATTTTTGCAGTTGTATTTTTAACAGTTATCATAATGAAATTTATAGGACAGGTGAGTAATAGAACACTTGGGGCTTCATTTGTATATAATGTGTTATAAAATTTACATTTTACAGTATATAGTATGTATAGTTTTATATAATGTATGAACTGTTTTGTTAAGTGAAGAAGTAGTAGGTATATGTAAAATTGTAGTGTATGTGCATATATACACATGACTACAGGCCCAATGAGCCCAAAGTTAACAGTTTTTAATGTAAACCAAAATACTTACTTGCAAAGAAAATAAAGAGCCTTCAGCTGCTGTTAGTTGAAGGTGATTCTGAGGGTATGAACAAATACCAGGGTTAAATGATGAACTTTTATAGGGTTAAAAGCATTGAAACTAATCTCTGTATACTTTGCTCTTTTCATGCAGATACGTGGGACTGCGTAGCAACTTGCTTTTTCATAGATACTGCACATAATGTTATTGATTATATTGATACTATATGGAAAATTCTTAAGCCTGGAGGAATATGGATAAATGTAGGCAAGTGTGACCAGCTGCTCTTTTTGACTTATTTTTGATAGTATACTTGAGAAGTGCATGCAAGTAATTGTCTATGCAGCAAACTGTACGGCTAGAAAAATACAGGGCTTGGAAATTATCTCAGAAGTTATCAGATGTTTGCTATTTGCAGTCAAGTCAGCACTGTGATTTTTAAGTAGGCAAGTAAATCTTGCCAGTGGCAGGTTTTGCATTCATGCATCAAATGCTTGTTTTTGACAAATATTGTATTCTGTGGTGCTCTTTGCTATTTTTCTAAGAAAACGGAACTTCAAAATACATCCTTGCTTTTTTGGGGTTTTTTTTTTGCAATATCTAATTGATACTCTGCATTGAAGCAGAAATTTTGGGAATTCAATTTGATTGGAGTCTTCCGTGTTGAAAGAATGTTAGACAAGACACAGGCATTAAACATTATGCATAGTAGAAACTGGTCAGTCACTGGTCAGTTGATCGCTCTCAGCCAGAATGCTAGCAGAGCTCCTAGGCAGACTTAAATATTCTGAGCTATAGAGACAACAGTGATGCTTGACTGAAGAAATTTTAAGATACAAAAACCAAAATCTGGTAGGAAATGTTGCAAATTGTTGAATAAGAACTAGGGTAGTTTTTATTTTTCATTGATATTCATTATAAGAATCATTCAAGTAACAGCAATATGTTCTTTTGTCAGTATTTATAGAATCATAGAATGGTTTGGCTTGGAAGGGATCTTAAATATGATCTAGTTCCAACCCTCCCTGGGCAGGAAACCTTCCATATTTTTTTACATGTGAATCTGGATATAAGTGTTTGTTGCACTACCAGTGTGTACTTTTGACTTCTAACACATATTTTATCTTTTTGGTAGCCATTTCTGTTGTATTTTTGTACTTCAGGTCCTCTCCTTTACCATTTTGAAAACTTGGGAAATGAACTCTCCATAGAATTAAGCTACGAGGATATAAAAAATGTTATCCTGCAATATGGATTCCATATAGAGGTAAGAAGATGGTGTAGTTTGCAATAAGCAGTACTGTTATGAATCAGACAAACTGCTTTGATTAAACCACCATGAATTTCATTGAATATAATGGCATATATTAATGACTTCTAGGTGTATGATGTATCTTACCTGATTTTCTCATTTTATAAGAAGTGCATAGATGAGCCTCATAATCTAATAACAATATAATATTTTCTTGTATAGTTGCTGTGCAGAAGCTGTCTTGAAAACTACTGCTTTGTTTTCAGGTGGAGAAAGAATCTGTACTGTCAACTTACACTGTGAATGAACTCTCCATGATGAAATACTACTATGAATGTGTGTTGTTTGTGGTGAGAAAACCAGAATAGTAGTGGTTTGAATAGGGTAATGAGAAAATAATATTCGCTTGAAAGCTAGAAATGAGAATAAAATCATCTGGTGATGTATGGACACAACCTCAAATCAGTGGTGCCTTCTTGTTCCTAAGAGGATATAGATAGTGTCTATTTTCTTATATCTATTGCTATTCAAACATATACTATGCCATGGATATTTGTAATACACTTGTGAAAGATTAAATGTTCATATGCACTGTCTTTGTGCTTAGGAATGCATTAAATATAAAAGCAAAAGTGTTTTCTTGAGAACAAAATTTAATGTTCGCCATAACTAGGCTAATTCTCTGCTAATGCTGCCTCATTTTTCATAGATTTATAGTGATTTTTTTTCCTACTTGATGTTAGGGGAATGCATGGAGGTGCTTACTGTACTAGCTGTATCACTTTTAGAGAAGTATTTGTAAATGTATACTTAAATTATGAAGTCTGAAATGGTTGGGAAGTCATAAAATTATTCTTGAACAGGTAAATTAGTCATCAGAACTGTTAGAGCATTTCCTGTGCAACTGAAGTAAAATAGGATATTATACAAATTCTGATCTTTGGCTGTACCACTGTTAAATCAAAAACCAGAACCACAGGAAATTAGAAATGCTACATTGAAAGCAGAATACAGAGTGAAGAAAAAGCGACTATCAAAGAGAAGCAGACTGTCACAGAGCAGCAGTATGTTACACTCCGTTGAGGAAAGCACCGGTCCTGATTGATCTTAGTGTTGGAACTGAAATGTGTTAAATGCTTTGCCTTCTTGAAATAACACTGATTTTGCATCATCTTCTTAGTGTTTAAGCCAGAACTTTTAAACTCAATAAACACAGCTGAGTTATCCATGCCACATGTAGGTAGTACAACATAAAAATACCTGTCAGAGCAGTGAAGTTACATGTAAATATGTGCTATAACCTAATTACTTCCATCTGAGCCAGGATATGCAGGCCAAATAGTAGACAATTTCCTTGTAACTTCACTTTACCCTTGTGGCTTCTTGGTTCCCCCTATTAATGTGGTTTTTTTCCCTAACAGATGTGGCTTAGGTGAATATTTAATCTACAAGTCATGGTACTATACAAGAGGCTGTCATGTCACATACAATCTCATGTCACTTTGAAGTTATGTAAGAAATTACAAAAACCTTAATTAACAGTCACTACTCTGAGATGAGGTGTCATGTTAGGCATTCTGTTTGCGTAATATATTGATTACCTTAAGTGCCATTTGGATGCATTTTCAAAAATATGTTTAAAATATAAAACCATTATGATGAGGGCTGAATTTTTTCTTTCTTCTTTGGCTAAAAGGACACTGGTCAGTATGTTATTTGTTTCTGATTATTTTTTGTCCTGTCTTTCATGGTGGTGTCCTAATCACATCTCTTTAATAGGATCTGTTCCTGGTTTTTCAATTTTTCCAGTCAAGGCCAGAAATTTGTGCCTTTATTTCTAAATTGAAAATCTGCAAGGAAGAAAAACAAACTTTTTAAAAAATATTTTAACACTGCGTAAGAGAGCACATGCTTGTATGTGTTTCAGTATTATGTTCCTTTCAGCTCAGAATCCTGATTGAGAACAGAGGCTTTTGCTCTACAGAACAGAAGTTTTTAAGTTTGGCTTAAGCTACTCTTCTTTGAACTCTCTTATTTCTAAAAGTGCATGAACTGTCAAAGTTCTACCCTGTTCCAAGGGAGATGTGTTTAAAGATTAAATGCTGATATTCAACAAATAATTCAAAAATACAAGTCTTTGTGTGGCTAAAAGTAAAAAACCACATGCTTTCATTTCCACATTGTACCACTTAATTTTTGAGAAAATTTGTCTTTTTTGATTCTTTGCTTTCATTACACTTTTCTCATATTAGGTAGAATATGATTAGTAATTTAGTTGATTTTCAAGCTTCTTGAAATAGGACAGAGGTTAGCTGAATGTCAGTTAAGCTGATTCTGAGTAGCATATCTGTCTGTAATACTACCAAGTTACTGCCCCTTACACAGTCTGTAACATGAAATGTGCTGTTCTGTTTTTCAAAAAAAAAGCAGTGGAACTATTTATGGTTGAGTGTCAGTATCCTGTGTGCTGGTGGTTTTTTTCATTACCACTCCATGTTGTCACAGGTGCCATTTTTGTATGTTCTCTGAAAATATTTTTACATATGGTATAATACAATGATGTGCTTTTTATTTCTGACATAAAAAATGCTGGGTTTTTTTCTTTTTCCTGAGCATTCTGCTTTTAAATTGCAACAGTCACATAAAGAGTTGGAAGCAAAATAATGTTGTGAATGAGCTGTTAGTGTTTTATCTTCAGTCCCATTTATGAGTTCTTAGAATTTGCCACTTGTACTGTAATGCACAGGGGTAATTGTGCATTATAGAATTTGATCATTGTTTTATTCAGTTTTATATGCAGGGGGAAATGCTCAAGGTGTTCGTCAGTGTCACTCTTAAACTATACATGGTAACAAACGTAAAATAAAATGCTGCATAATCTTCAGTGTAAAATTTCTTTGTATGGAGTTTGATAAATGTAAAACGTCCTGTATTTTTTTTAATGTGTTATATTCTAAAACTTGGTTGCCAGGATGGTAAGAACGGGAAGTTTCATGTCTCTATGTGCACTTCCCACAATTTTCAGTGTGTGTAGTGGACTGGAGTTTTTGGATATTAAAGCTTTCTGTAAGGCTTGATGTCTCGCGTGTTTGGTTCCATCCTTCATGGCCAGGTGAGGGTTTGGCTCTGGGGGCGCTCCCCGCTCCTCCCTTCCCGGCGGGATGAGGGGCTGGCTGTGAGGGCGCTCCCCGCTCCTCCCTTCCCGGCGGGATGAGGGGCTGGCTGTGAGGGCGCTTCCCGCCCGCTCCTCCCGTCAAGCAGTGCGGCGGGCAGCCCCTTCCCCCGGCGCCGCCGCCGACCGTGGCGCGCATGCGCGCTGCAGAGCGCGCCGGCCGCGCATGCGCTGGTGTGGCACAGGAGCCGCGCGGAGCCGCCGGCGCGCGGCCCCTCATGGCCAAGCGGCGCGCGGAGCCGCTGATGTGCCACGTGCCCGTGAAGCGGCTGCTGCGCGAGCCGGCGCTGCCCCGCGCGGGCGAGCGGCGGCTGTGGCGCCCCAGGACGCGCCGGCGGCGGAGGGACGCGCGGGCCGCCGGGGAAAAGAGCGGGCCGCCGCCGCCGCCGAGGTAGCTGTGCGGGACGGGCCCGCGTCGCTCGTCCGCGGGGAGGGAAGTGGGGAGCGGTGCCGGTAGCGGATGAAGCGTGTCTGCGGGACGTGGGTGTCCGCCGGGGGTGCTGGCGGGCTTTCGCCCGGCACGGCGCTGCGCTCAGTGCCGCCCAGCCCCGTCTGCGCCTCCTGCCCGCGGGCATCTTAAAGCTCCTTCTGCTTTTGTCTTCCTCGAGGCAGGAGAAGTATCATCCAGCTTTACCGGTTCCTTCCCCGCTCCGTGCCATGAAACAGCTTGTCCACCTTACCTGAGGTTATGCTCAGCTTCATCCCCGTCCCGCAGTGCGGTGGAAGCTTGCAGAGGTTACTCTGTTGTCGCCTCTGTTGTGTGAGGGTGAGGGTTAGGCTCACTACAGCGTCAGCCTTCGTGTTTTGGCATTCAGTAGCAATGCCAGAGCTGTCTTTTAACCACAACATTTAGTGGAGGCGGTGGTCTGAGGAAAGGCGTCAGTGTCATAATGATTAGAGTATATCGAAACGACTTTTCTCGTTAACTTTGAACAATATACTTGTTTTTCTTCTTGGTCTTAACTGCATTTTACACAGTAGTTCAGGAAACAAAATTTGGTACATACGAAGAAAGTTGTAATTAAAAAATGAAACCCAAAGTCCCGCACAATCAAAGCAGACCGTGATCAGATTTCACACATTTCAAACATAGAACTTTGGTACATGTTAAACTAACTTTTCCTCCCACCTGGATCTTGAAAGACCAGACAATTAGACTTGGTGATATGGAAGTGGCAGAAAGTCTGATCAGGTTAGATGGGCTTTGATTGGCAGTTGTAGACTCTTAATTTCAATAATTTGAGGCCTCTCACAGTGTAACACCCACATACGATCTGTAAAGAAAACTGGCTTTTATTTTTCACGCTCTGCCTTTTTCTGTTTTCTTGCTTGATTGATTTGTTAGTGGGTTTTATTGATGATGGATGGTAAAATTAAGGCAGGAAGAAATTCAGAAAAAATTCTGTGTTGTATGAATATTATACAGCCATTTTAAATACAAGCATTTCTTTTATTTTTGAAGATGGAACACATATATTCATAAGCATAGTAATTAAACAAATTGAAAAAACCTCTACAGAACAGGCTGACTGCTATCACAATTGTACTTGCTCCTGGTGTTACTTGGCATAATTTTGTAAGCTTTAGCAGTGATTGGAAGGCCACAAGCCCCTTGAATTTCCACACATTACAGATTAGATCTCTATATAAAGTATTTTTCTAGGTGTGTATTTTTAACAGGTTGTTTCTCTCAGCACAGTTTTGTATAAAAATGTTTTAGTTTTAAAATAAAGCTTGATTAACACTTCAGGCTAGAGATATTTCTTCTTGTTTTTGTGTGTCCCACCTGTATATTTTAAATAATTTATAATGATATTTCTGATGATGATTTATACACCTTTCTGAAAATACGATCTCTGGGTTGGTATTCTTTACATTCTTTAGCTGTATTCTTTACAACTTTACACAAACTGTTTTTGGCTTGTGTATTTCATTACATTCATAAGTATGATCAGGATAGTGTTAATTTCACAGTGTTTTTGTTAAAGCATCATATTGCAGTTGGCCAGAGAAGAAAGATTATTTTAGTTCCAAGTACCCTTTTGCAACTAGAGTTGGAAAACTAACTCCTTAAATATTATGCAACTTTGTCTATAGAAACTGAGCTTTTGTATCTCTGAGCTTGCCTACCTTGTTGCCTGCCTTGATAGAATTTCTACTCAAAACCTATGTGGAAACTTACTTAGTTGACAGTGAATATTTGGTGTTTTATTTTGCCTTCTAGTTACAATTGTTTGTGCCATTTTTTTTTCATTTTCACACTGCAGTATTGCTGATCTGCAAACATGAAAGCTTTTGAGTGTAATTATGCATGCAGTCCAAAATTGAGTATGTGTTTATGAGCTCTTAGACTCTAATAATTTTGAAACAAGGGTGCAGTCATTCACTTTATGCATACAAAGCATCAGGGTTCTGATTTTAAGTATTTAGCTCTCAGTTTTTTTTAAAAAAAAAACTTTACCAAAATGCCAGGGGAGTTCAAATAGTGCAGGGGAGAATTTGTAAAAGTAGCTGACAGTTTCTGAAACTCACCGCCTGAGATTTTTTTCAAAGAATTTGTTAGCCACCTGCCCTGCACAGTTCTGTGTGAGTGATGCTGCCTGTGTTGCAATACAGATGGGAAAGTCATCCTTTCCACACTTGTCAATTGTTGTTAATGCTGTGCAGTACAAACTTCCAATGTACAAGAATGGGCAACTATTTTTAGTTTGGCTTTCTTCCAGTTTCAGTATAATCAATCCTTTTGTTCCTGTGTCACGGTGTCATTTAATTGGTTTTGGTCTCAATTAATGGAAACTTTTGTTCTTCAATATTTTTTGAAGACAGACTTCCCCAGTGAGGAAATTCACATTAATAGTGTTCTATAGGCAAGGAGCCATCTTACTGCTATGAAATGTCTGCACCTTTTGTCCTCTCTTAATTACTATAGGTTATAAATCATGCAGGGGTTTTGTAGCAGGAAGATGTTGCTTAGTACAGCAGTTTGTAGTTCAGGAAAGGTCTGTAACAAATAGAAAAATGTATTCTTTAAATGAGAAGTCTGGTGATTTTATGTACTCTTTTGGGAGGAGTGGGGAAAGCATAATTTTTCAGTATTTGAGAAGGTGTAGGGATGATACTCACTACTGGTTTTTTTTTATTCTGTTGCAAAACCAATGAACAAGTAATTAATATTTTCAAGAGCCACACTGTAGAGACCCATTGAAGTTGACTTAGTCACAGTGTGGATTGTGGTGGTGCTTTGTCCCCCCCACAGGCTGCACTTTGGTATCTCAGGAATACCGAAACAATTACACCAGTTTATTTGTTAAAACTACTTCTGTTCAGCATCTGTTACAGCTGAGACAGTGAAGTAAAATATTTAAAAATTCTAATTGTATGTTAGGAAAAATGCAAACCCAGTATAATATGGAAATGCATTATTTTAGGTTTCTGTGAGCATACACTGTTTTTATGTACCAGAAGGCAATACATGCTCATGACCTAAGGAATGATGTAATTCATTCCTCTTCCTAGATGTATCATGTCCCTAGAAACCTGTACAGCTTGGCCATTGTTGATAATTGTGACATGTTTATAAACAGGCAATGCACTTTCAATTTTAAATAAAAATTAAAATTGTGCTGCCATATTAAATTAGTATATGAGGTTGTGTTTGTTTCTCCAAGGTTTTTTGAGATACTGTCTAGTTAGATAGGTTGGAGCATTGTGCTCATAATGCTGAGGCTGTGGGTTTGCTCCCCATATGGGCCATTCATTTAAAAGCTGCACTGGCTGATCCTTGAGGGTCCCTTCCATCTTACAATATTCTGTGATTCTTAAGCTTTCCTCTCTTGAATACAAAATTTGGATACAAAAAAGAAGAAATTGAATGTTTTTTAAATACTATAAAATGCTTAATTTATCTTGCATGTATCATCCCTCTGGGTTGCTGTTAAGTAGTTAAATACATTCTTTTGAATATCAGTCTCTAAATGTGCTTGAAAATTGTATACTATTATGAGAAGAAAAAGCAGTGAGCTGTTTTTGTATGCAAAGTCCAGTAATTGCACAAGTTTTACACCTTTTTTCTGTGCCGAAGTCCTAAGCTGAAGAAATTTATGGAATTATGGAAGCTGTTGCACAATTATTGGCAAGCATATTAAAAAAAGCAGAAGTAAATAATGATCTAGTTAAGGTGGTCATTATAAAATAGTTGTCAATATATAATAGCTGAGTAACTCTTCTTAGTTTCAGTTTATTGAGTAAAAAGTTTATTTTTATTATTTTCTGCTGCTGGTATACACATTAATGTTTTGTTAATTTTTGTCTCTTTTCAAAGGAAGAAGAAGAATTCTGTCAATATAACTCATTCCTGTACTGGAGAGCACCACTGCCTGCTATTGATTTGTCTGATATTCAGAACCTAGATGAAGAGACTCCATCGGGTGCTAAAACTGCTGCAAGGACTGATACCGCAGAGACTGAAATGGAAACCTGATCAGTTGTTTCATAGCTGTGCATCTGTTCCCAGAGAACTTGTTTCCATTGAGATTCGAGTTTCGTTCCTTGGGTGAATAATAAGCATGCTTATGCGGTCTTGGAAAAACTGTTGTGGCAGTCTTTGAAAGCAAATCTGAGTTGCCTTAGTGGATGGGATAAACGATATTGGGTACTTAACAGGAAGCTGTTTGAAGGTGTTCAGTAAGGAGCCAACAGTGTCTAACAAGAATACTTGAAGACATGGAGGCATACTAAAAGAAGAATTAAGAAAATTAGAACTTCGGGATGCAATTAAAGGAAATGGGGATCTATTACATGTCAAAAGGAAATGCAAAATTATTTTGTCTGTCCTGAACAAAAAAATGTGTGGTACCTGAAATACCTAACGTGAATTTTTCATAAAGCACACAAACTCTGTGATTCCTAATGTGTTAGGGTTTTTTTTCTGTATAATAGCTAAACCAAAAAAATGAAAAGTCCATCAAAATCGGACAAAACATTCCCTTTTCTATGCAAACCAAAAACCAAGTGTGGCAGAGAAGGGGAAGGAAAAGGGGCTACTTTCTGCTGAAAGCTGCTGCTGTTCTAAAAGGTTTCACATTTTCATTGTGAAAAAGTTTTCTCACCTTCTCTTTTTCACATTACAGACAGCAGTGGGCACCCATTTTTTTATGTTTTTGGTTCATTCTAAAGTTACTGCTATTCTTAGTCTTTGTGATGTTGCTCTGAACCAGTTGATGGGATCTGAATGACAGGTTTGGGCAGATGTGTCAAGAAAAGTTAGTGCAATATAAAATGACCACACACACTCTTTCAAATTATACTGAATGAGGTGTAGTTTTTGCAGAGACTGTGAATCTTGCAGAAAGTTTTTGCAGAAGTTCATTCATATAGTGTTATTTTGCTGTGAAATATGAACTTAATGTTTGTGATTTGCAATTTATTTACAAATTGAAGTACAATTAGATGTCTTTAATAATAGACTGAAGTTGTATGGAAGGACTTACATTTTGGAATACAGTGTGTCTTTAAGGATAGAAAACATATTTTTTCTGTAATCACTATGGAAAAAGGCAACTTTTCAATTTTATTTTTTTCTAATAATGTGTTTGTTAAAGGACAATAAAGTTTTGCCTGTGTGTATGTGAAGACTTTGGCACATTACTATGTGAAGTTCTTGACTTGATTTCATAAGATTGCTGCTTCTGTATATTTGTTGTTTTACTAGGTCTTTTTTGCTTAAAATAGTGAGCTTGTCAGCTTCCTTTGTAAACACTTGGAAACTTTTTCTGGAATTTGTGCTGCATAGGTATGTGTATTTGTTGCTTATTCATTTAGCTTGTTAAGATCTCTGAATACCTTCTGAAAAAAGGAGGTAGCTTAGGGACTTAGGCAGTTCACAGTACCTCGCTGGATATCCTTCTACCTTCTGTCAGATTAGCTGGATACGTATTTGGACAATATGTATTTTTCTCAGAAAGTCCAAATACACCAACTTGTCTTAGGAGGTACTTTGAATTTTTTTTAAAAAATAAACTCCTTTTCTGGCAAGAAGGCTATAAACCATGCTATTTCATGTTTACTATAACCAAAATAAATTAGTGAAAAAATTAGATCTATTAATTATTGAGGTGTTTGAATTGGTTATATGATCTAGGGGGTTTTGACCCTATATAATACATGCATTCCTGTATTTGTGAGTTTTATAATATTTCAGACCATCCACTGTTCTCAGGATGAAGCTTTTTACATTATTAGCTAGTATCTTTGCAACACACTCTGCTCATAAAATCTGCTGGATGCTTCACTCATGGTAGATACATCCTAGCAATAGCCTGCATTTTATTATTAAAATTCCTCATTCCACTCCTTTCATAGAACAGAAGATGTTTTATTATGGTCTTTCAAATACATGTTTGAGCTATCCCATAACCAGATAAATAAGTCCTTTACAACAAATTAAGCTTGCAGTGTGCTGTAAGCCATATGTTTACTTCATTTGCAATTGTGCTGTAGGCAAGCACTTTCCTCATAGTTTGTTCCAGTTGTGGACTCTGTTATGGGCTGGAATGTTATGGCTACTTTTAGAGTGTTTCCTGAGCTGATTCATTTTTTCCATTCATCTTTTTCCATTCATCTCTTTGCAAATAGAGGTAAGTTTAAAAGCCTTGGAAAACTATTTGAAATTACTCTTGAGAGTCTGGGTTATGCAAAAGGCTGGAGCAGTAACGGGGAGTGATGACAGATTACATAAATTTTGCATTAGAGCTAACAGCAGGTATGATAAGAAATTGCATTTCTCAGTGTCTGGTGTCTCCATATGCCATGTGACACTGAACTACCAAATTGCTGGTCTTGACTTCTGACTCCATTTTTCTAGAGACCTTTCATTCAAAAGCTGCATATAAACTTTATGTAAGCATAAGAAGTTTTAATTTGCATATACATTAACATCCAGTGAAAAGAAAATGGTCTTTTAAGATAAAGAAATGCCATGACACATTGAGACAATTCAGTAGCTGCATACTGACTGACAGTTTTAATTTGATATGGTTTTAAATTTTAGAATAAAAAATATTTGTATTTTCTATAGTTAACTGGGAGTTTGTATTCTCTAAAATATTTCTAAAAGGAAAGGCCAATGTCACAAGCTTAAGAACTTGTTAGGGGTAACCACATCTAGACATCACCCAGCTTGATCAGGGGCTGCATCAGCAAGTTGCACAGTAAAGATACGGGAATAACACTAAGTCAGATATGGAGCTGAATAGGTTTCAAAGCAGATTTAAACAGCAAAGTAGCATGACCAACATTTAATAAATCTTTTGCATTATTCTAAACTAAAGGCCTGTTTTATACTGTCTGATTTGTGTTTATTGAAGGCCTGCATTATGTTTATGGTTCCTAAGATAGATAAGCCTCTGGGAGGAGATTAAAGCTCAGTCCAGATCAGGAAAGTGAAGAGCTACTGTGGAAAACAGGCTGCATGAGTGAATGTGTTTTGGGTAAGTAGACTGTGGTAGAAAGGGAAAAAAAGCAGGGGATGGAAGGTGGGTGATCATGGAGTAACTCACCTTGTGAGTGCAGGTACAGTTGGCCAGCAGACCAATGACAAGAATATTTTCAGCATAGCTCTATCTTCAGCACAGCAACCTTGCAGTAATTTGAATATGGTATCAACTAAATGTAATAGGTTTCTCACTGTTTTGACAGTTGCTGGTTGATTTTTTTCCTGTTGGCCAGGAATTTAGTGGATATTAAAAAAGCATGCTTGTATATAGGAACTTGGAAAATATAAGGGATCCTTCGTAAAGAAGATAAAATGTGCAAATGTATATGTTACCAGGTGAAATAAAGATAATTAGTATCCAGCATCTGCCAGCATGTTCTAACCAGAGCAGTAGATTCATTTAGGGAAATTAATGTATTCTTTTGTGAAAGCCTCTGACCTTGACTGTGGGAAGAGGGGTTAAACTGCACAGACTCACTGTTTTCTGCAGCAGAACTTGTGCTCAAAGAAGCATTTAATAATAACTAATATGCCTGGGCTGGCTTAATTACTTCCCTGCCTACAGTTATAACTTTGACACTCTAGGTGGCAATACACATTCACAGCAAGTTACCATGAATCTGGAAAATGTTTTGGGTATGCTTCTATTCCAGACTGCTACTGAAATTTCAAGCAGTGACATCATGAATGCTAATCATTTCCTTACCTGATACATAAATAAGGGCAGATCAACTCACAAGTCCCTGATCATAAGGTGACACAAGGTTTTCAGCATAACTAGAGTAAAAATGTTGTGTCAAGCAGTTTTGATTCATCTCTTAATTGTCTCCAAATTTCCTCATCTGCCAAAAATCCAAAAAGCAGCCAACCAAACCCAATTATCAATTTAATACATGGGGTTTTGTTGTCACTGCCTTGTATTGCTGTTTCCTTTAGCTGGGGAACAAGCTTTATCAGATTGTGTGTTGGATGAAAACCTCAGTTGGTGTCTGAAGGCTACTTGAAGTGTCTAATGTGAGGAAGTGTCTAATATGAGGAAGAGAAAGGTAAGTGCTAATTCAGAAGAAACTAACTCACTAAGAAGTATTTAAATGCTTGTATATAGGTAATTATTTGCGGAGTATGAAGAAAATTAGAGAAGAGATACTTATTTTCCTATTTCCCTATTAAAATTCCTACTTCATGCTTTTTGTATTAGAGAATTTGGTGGTGATGTGTAGTATATTTTAACAGTATATTTTAATTACTGTTGCATTTGAAAGTAATAGTTGTAGTCAGTAGTAGTTTATATTTTTAATGTTCTTGGTGAAGTATGCATAACTTCTTAGTCACTTCTAAGGACTTAAAAAATATTGTTCTTTCTTCTCTTAAAGCCATACAGATAATAACTCTTTCCCCTAGTGAAAGAAAAAGTAGGTTTTTTATTAGTGATATGTTACCATTCCTAGGTGAAAAAATGTGAAAACAGGATGGAGACAAACTAAATTTTTGTTTCTATGATTACTTTGTTTTAAAAAATATTATGGTGGATTATTGTTTTCCTCCTTTTGTTTTGTCTTATTTTACAATAATGAACTTTTGAAAGAAGGGATATGGACTAGCTAAGCATTACCTTTTTTTTTTTCCAGTTTCTTTATGTGAATGCTTGCAGTTCATATTTGGATTGGAAAATGATTAATTAAGTGATTTACCAAGTATGAGATTGAGAAAATTAAACAAAAATAGCATTGTGCTATCTGCAGTGAAGTTTTTGCTAGAGAAAAGCCTTTCATGCAGAGCTATGAATGGAAATGAGCCATTCATTGTTGTCTTGTGCGGGTGAATTTTTTGACATCCGTCATTTGAGTAGTACAGAGATGTTCTTCTACCTAAATTGAAACACAATAATAAATTGTATTGGATCTACTCAAAGTGTCAAATACCTCTCTCTGAAGCCTGATACTACATGCTGGATATTTTCTTTTGATGCTTCTACTTGTAGAGCATGGAAATTGCTTTCAGTTTCTTTTAATTCCTGGAATGAGAAAAAAAAATCACAAAAACAACCACCTTATTTTTTTTCTGATTACATAATTATTATGTAAAAACTGCTTTGGCATAAAGTAAGCTACAAAAATCCTTTGGTTTCATGATCATCAGTTGGAAACCAAAATTTTTAAAAAATCAAATAATCACAAAAGGTTGCATCTGTGTAAGCTGTAATAGTTTTTCTTCTTTTACCTTGATGAAATTGGAGAAACAAAACTATGATTGAAAAGAGGAAAACCTACTGCAGACAAACCTCTGTATTTCTAAATGTGTAAGGCGCAAATGCAAAGACATCAAAGACAGCTTTCAATTGTAGAAATTTAACTCATAAAAATAATTCTGAAGTTTGATTGTGAAATACAGTATGAAAGTAAAAATCAGTCACACTAATTTGATGTGATTTTTGCAAGGATGGACCTAAACTCATTTCATCTCCTAGGCTAGTCAGTTTTTCCTCAGAAAAAAAAAATACTTAAGATGTTTTCATATGAGGAAGGAATTTAAGAGAATACGACTTAAAATATCACCTATGCTGATTCCTGTGGTAATAAAAACTACAATTTAAAAACACACTATAGTAATTAGCAAACAGATTGATATAAAAATTATGTAAGGACTAAGACACTGGGTTATAAGAGAAGAATGTTGTTTTACAAATGGGTGATTGCTGCAAGGAAAGAGTAAACTTAATTTCTTGAATAGAAGTAAGCTTAAATTTACTTTGCTTTCCTTTTAGAAATCTGGGTACCTAAAGGTGAAATTAGAGCAGCAGCAACAAACAGCCAAGTTAATAAGTTTGACTGTTCATATTATGGTATATTTCTATTATTTAGTATGGGATAGCTACTCAAAACACTATTTAAAGAATAATTGTCATAACAGTGCTCTGCCTAGCTGACACCAGCGTCTGCTAACTGCCGGCTGCTTTCAACAGGGTACTCGAAGCCATGCCCTGCAGGACAGGTGAATCCAAATGGTTCCCTGCCTTTTCTGCCATGGCTTGGCCATCAGGTGTAGGTGATGGGGAACCCTTGCCCAGGCCCCACAATTGCTAGCGTAGCCTGTGAAAGCCAACAGGCAAGTGTTTGTTCCTTGCCTGCAGAGCAGCAAG